GAGGAAAGCGGGGCGTCGGCTGCTGAGAGCCAGGGCCGCTGGCGGGGATGGGGGCGGGCAAGGGCGCCGCGGAAAGGGTGGGCGGGGGATCCGTGTCCCACCCCGCCGGGTCGCAGCTCTGCTCCTGCGAGCTTCCGCCGAGACCTCCCCCCGGAAAGCCGCGTTTCCTTCCTGCAGTGGCGGCCCCGCGTGGGGCACGGAGGGGCTGGCGCACCCAGAGCTTGCAAGCCTTCCCGAGGGCGCGTCCGCAGCGCGCTCCGCCCCGGAAACACGTCCACTGCCTCCTTGGCGCGCTTTCCAAACACAGGTTTCGCAGCTTCCCGCTGCTTGGGGAGCTTCGTTCTTGCCCGCCAAACCCGCAGCCACCCGGGCGCTGCGATGAAGAGGACCCGCGAGGAGGTGGATGCCACGCTGCTGATCGCCAAGCTGAACGCGGCCGAGCTAATGCCCACCGTGCACTGCCTGAGCTTCGGCCCGGGGGCCAGCGGCGCTGCCGCCGGCGACTTCTGCCTGCTGGAGCTGGAGCCCACGCTGTGCCAGCAGCTGGAAGATGGACACAGGTGAGCCCTGGACACGCCGCTCCTCCAGCCTCCGGCCGGCCACGTTATGTTCTCAGCAAGGGAACTCGGGATGAGGAAACAGGGCCAGAGGGATGCACTGATTTTTTTTGGGCGGGGCACTCATAGCAAGCTGCCTGTTCCCAAGGAGTCCACGCCTCCTGTGGACGGTCCAGTTAGCTGCACTGCGGCCATGAGTAGCACTGGTCCAGCTGTCCTTGGAGGCGTGTGTCAGCTACAGAACACCTGCTATCTACCTTAAAATACAATGGTGATATCCAATATTTATAAAGCTCTTGCCTTCCACTTACATTTATTTTACTCAGATAATAGGAGTGTTGGGAATCAGCCTACAGACTTGGTAATTTGATGAGACCCCCACCCACTCCAAAGCAAACTTTCTTGGAGTCACTCAGCAGGGATCTGAACTGTTTCTAATTCCAGGTCAAATACAGACTTATGCAAGATCATTGATTAAAAGTGCAAGTTGAGGTAGTTTTTTAAAGGCAGTCTTAAGAAGTCTAGAGAGTCGTGTATCCCTCCACCCTGTGCTGTCCCAACTCCTGCAAAATAGGAAGCTCCAGCTTGATTGTCTGAACAACTGGTCCTCAGACCCCTATATTTTATTAGGCGATTATTTCTCTCTCTCTCTCTCTCTCTTTGAGATAGAGTCTTGCTCTGTCACCAGGCTTGGAGTGCAGTGGCACAGTCTCGGCACACTGCAACCTTCGATTCCCGGGTTCAAGTGATTCTCCTGCCTCAGTCTCCCAAGTAGCTGGGACTACAAGCATGTGTCACCATGCCTGGCTAATTTTTGTATTTTTAGTAGAGATGGGGTTTCACCATGTTGGCCAGGATGGTCTTGAACTCCTGACTTCGTGATCCGCCCACCTAAGCCTCCCAAAGTGCTGGGATTACAGGCATGAGCCACTGTGCCTGGTGCTCTTTTTTTCTTAATGGAATCCTTTAGGCTTTCTATTTTTGTACTTTGCCCACCAGAGTATTACAGTAAACTGGCCATTCTTCAGATACTTACTATATACCTCAAAGTATCTTTTTTTTTTTGAGACGGAGTTTCGCTCTTGTTACCCAGGCTGGATTGCAATGGCACTATCTCGGCTCACCACAACCTCCGCCTCCTGGGTTCAGGCAATTCTCCTGCCTCAGCCTCCTGAGTAGCTGGGATTACAGGCACGCGCCACCATGCTCAGCTAATTTTTTGTATTTTTAGTAGAGATGGGGTTTCACCATGTTTAACAGAACTGAAAGAACTTCGCTCCTCTGTTTCCGTCTCAGCTCAGTTGGTGGAGAGTTGAGAAAGGAACTCAAGTGTGAGGATTTTCTCTCCATCCAGTTCTAGTTTGTCCACCTGACAAAAAAAAAAAAAAAAAAAAAAAAACAGGACCTGGAAACGTGTGTTTTTAATTTTGGTGTGTAGGAAGGGATGAAATAAACAAAATATTTCAAAGTGGGGATAGTGCAGTTAGAAGTAAATGTTAAAGACTAGGTACTTTGGGCCTATTAAGCATTATTAGCACTGGGAGTCTAAAAAACCTTTCATTCTTTTCACTTAAATGAAGACTTAGTAAAAAATAAATACACAGTCTGCTATTTCAGGTTTCTTATTATTTTTTCAAAAGAAACAAGTTGTGCACAAGAGAGCTAAATGCTTTACAAACAAGGAAAATGGCTAGAATCAACTCCCTTGTCATTGCCATTATCTTAGTCTTTAGTCCTTCCTTTTCCTCCTCTTCACCTTCATCCTTTTCGTCTTCCTTTTTTTTTTCCTTTTCCTGAGACGGAATCTCTCTGTAGCGCAGGCTATAGTGCAGTGGTGTGACCTCAGCTCACTGCAACCTCCTCCTCCCAGGTCCTGGTTCAAGCAGTTCTTCTGCCTCAGCTTCCTGAGTAGCTGGGACTAAGGCATGCACCACCATGCCCAGCTAATTTTTGTATTTTTAATAGAGATGGGGTTTTACCATGTTGGCCAAGCTGGTCTTGAACTCCTGATCTCGTGATATGCCCGCCTCAGCCTCCCAAAGAGTTGGGATTACAGGTGTGAGCCACTGCGCCCTCTTCCTTCTTTTCTATCTTTTTTTGGGGGGAGAGGGTGGTAGGAACATGGTCTCACTCTGTCCACCAGGCTGGAGTGGAGTGGCATGATTATGGCTCACTGCATGATGGTGCTGTAGCAGGAGCGACGGGGAACAAACCTCTTGAACACTGAACTGAGGAAGGAAGTGGCTTTTTATTCAGCCGGGAGCTGCGGTGGGCAGCAGCCTCATTCCCCGAGCTCCCTAAGCTGCAGCTTTTCTCCCCTTTTATAGGCTTACAACACTAAAGGGGAAACTGAGGTGGAACTATGTCACTGTTCATTTGCTGGACATCCAACCTTACAATCTTTTGGCTTCATTGATTTGCTAATTCATATGCCGCACGAGTGGAGACCAGCAAGGGAGGGGGGCTTACAGAGACAAGGCAGTGGCAACAAGCTGTTTGTTGGCAGAGGTATTTCCAGTAGGAAGCCTGGCCCCTGGAGACATGGGGCTGTGAACCAGTGGCAGGCGCCAGCCGGCAGGGATAACATTCATTTGTAGCTCTTTCAAGGTTAACAGATAGCAGAGATGCTGAGAACTAAAGAGAGTCATTTTCCCAGCTTTTTGGTATTTTATTTTATTTATTTTCTTTCTTCACTCTTTCCATCTGGAAGTCAGGAGGAGAAAGAGGTGAAATTGAAGAAGGCAAGAGGGTCTCCCCTCTCAGTGCCACTGCTACTTGGGCTCAGGCGATCCACCAGCCTCCTGAGTAGCTGGGACTTAAGGTGTGCACAACCACGCCCAGCTAACTTTTAAGTTTTTTCTTCTGTAGAGATGGGGTCTTGCTATGTTGCCCGGCCTGGTCTCAAACCCCTGGTCTCATGTTATCTTCTGGCCTCAGCCTCCTAAAGTGCTAGGATTACAGGCATGAACCACTGTGTCCTTGCCTTTCTTCAGCTGTGACAAAATCCCTTTGTCAAAGTCTCTCTTTTTTTTTTTTGAGAAGGAGTTTCGCTCTTGTTACCCAGGCTGGAGTGCAATGGTGTGATGTCGGCTCACCGCAACCTCCGCCTGCTGGGTTCAGGCAATTCTCCTGCCTCAGCCTCCTGAGTAGCTGGGATTACAGGCACGCACCACCATGCCCAGCTAATTTTTTGTATTTTTAGTAGAGACGGGGTTTCACCATGTTGACCAGAATGGTCTCGATCTGTTGACCTTGTGATCCACCCGCCTCGGCCTCCCAAAGTGCTGGGATTACAGGCGTGAGCCACCGCGACCAGCTGTCAAAGTCTTTTGTTTAGTCCACGCTGTAAACATATCCTTTTCATGGTTTTCATTCAGTACTGCATCCTTTTTTTTCAGAAGGTCCCAAGTTTTTTTGCAGTACAACTTATGGTTAGGCCAGGATATGCTCCTTTGATTGTGAGGGAGTACTCAAGGATGACGCTTGGGTGGGTACCAGGAGCAGCAGCTTGGCCATCCTTGGGGATCTTGTTAGAAATACGGGACCCTGGGTCCCATCCCAGACGCACTGAATCCCACTCTGCTTTTGAGCAACATTCTCTCAGATGCCTATGCATAAGTTTAGGAAGTACGGCTTTAGCATGTTGTAGAAAATTGTGACAGCTTGACTGAAGCTTCTGGATGCTTCGTCTTGTGCTCTTCCCAGCAGTTTACACGAGGATGCCATGTAGTGCCATTTGGCCTCTTGGCCTCTGTGTATCTGTCTTGCCCATCTTTATTTTTCCTTAATGAGGCTCCAGGGCGTCGGGGTCCCTGTGGCTCTCAGTTGGTCCAGAGCTTGCTGCATGGAATCCATCATTGTGCCAGCAGGGGGCAGAGGCAGCATCAAAACTTAATTCTAGAGTTCTGGTCGGGCAGAGACGCAGGGCACGGAGAGCTCCCCCAGGGCCCTCTAGGCCCTCCGGCCCGGGCGTGGGTGAGCGGGGGGACCCCGGGCCGGCGGGTGAGCTGGGGGACCCTGGGACAGGCCGTGCCCTCTGCCCTGAAGATACCGGAGGCCTCTGCTGTGGCTGCCCGCTGGCCAGGCCCCGGACTTGAAGCTGTGGCGAACCTCCTCTCTTCCCCACCCCACCTCGGTGACTGATGGCGGCAGCGGCCTCTCCCAGCCCGAACCCCGCCGGCTGCCTGGTCTCCAGGCTCAAAACTGCTGGGCTTTCACGAAACCCCAGCCGAGCTGCTGGGACGCAGCACCTCTGGGTGGCGGTGGGAGTGGCAGGCCAGGAAACATGGCGGCCACTCGAACGCCGCGCGGCAGATGCCGTTAGGTCACGGAGGGCCCGGGAAGGCGGCCTAGGGACGCAGGCAGGCTCAGCCACTTCTAGGCCATGGAGCCGCGCAGATCCGGGTCCCGGTGACTACTCTGTCCCCATCGGGCGAGACCTACCTAGTCCTGATGACAACGGACAAAGGCCTTAACGGGCCTGGGAGGTGAGCGAAGTTACGAATGTCGATGGTTAGTCGCCATCGGGATGGTTGGTCTTCATTCAACCAAACTTCGCTGTTGGAAGAGAGAAATGGTAGAATTACAGGCCACGTTTGGCCCGCTGGAGATGCCCACCACTCTCTGGGAAGAGTTACTGGCCGTTTATGGAAGGCCTGTGTATATAATATGAAAAGGCTGCTCTCAACTCCACCCCAACCTTTTAATAGAAAACATTTGTCACATCTAGCCCTTCTAGATGTAAAGAGGTTGCCAACGTATGATAGAGTTAGAAAATGACACATCTTGTAAATTTTCGTTTGTTTAAAAGAAGTCATAGAAAATACATGTCTTCTGGAGATGACCTTTGGAAATGGAGTTGTCAGGTGGCCTCTCGGAGCGATAGTCCACATTTGGTCGTGGGTTAGATGACATGGAGCTGGAAGACCTGAGAAGGAGGAGAAGGTTCTGTGCTAGACTGGTCACATTCAGAAGACAGTTTCATATTCTAACCATTGTTTTGTGTGCATTTTATTCCTCAGTACTGTATATATAGTTGACAATGCTAACCTTTTTTGAAATGTCTGTTCTTTTTAGATGTTCTGAAGTGCCTGATATATGTTAAAATTAGTAGTAAAATCACATTTTGTAAATATTGTTTTGTTATAATTCATAGGAAATGTTGTTTTTTTGGGGGAATGGCCGAATCACCTCTTGAGTAATACTCACTGTGCTTGTGCAGCGGCTCAGGGGAGGAGAGGGGAGGGGGAAGGTGCAGAGAGCTCTATGCCACCCTGCTTACAATGAGGCCAGATGAATCATTATCTCCATGCATTTTGTTTTACTTACCTGGGTATATGGTGTACATAAAGGACAAACAAGTCCTAATTTACAACATCTAGTCTTTCTAGATTTTAAAGAGGTTGCGTAGAGCTAGTAAACTAATGTATTGTACATTTTGTTTTACAAGTCTAGGAAAGATTGTCTTCTGAAAATTTGAGCATTCTTGCCCACTGGGTTGATGGAGATGGGAAAGGTTCTAGGCCAGAATGTTCACATTTGGAAGACTCTTTCAAATTATAACTGTTGTTAAGTGTTTACAGTTTATTCAAGACTGCTGTGTACATAGTGGACAAATTAACTCCTTACTTGAAACATCTAGTCTATCTAGACATTTAGAAGTGCCCAATAGGCCAGGCTCGGTGGCTCAAGCCTGTAATCCCAGCACTTTGGGAGGCTGAGGCGGGTGGATCACTAGGTCAAGACATCGAGACCATCCCGGTCAACATGGTGAAACCCCGTCTCTACTAAAAATACAAAAAATTAGCTGGGCGTGGTGGCGTGTGCCTGTAATCCCAGCTACTCAGGAGGCTGAGGCAGGAGAATTGCCTGAACCCAGGAGGCGGAGGTTGTGGTGAGCCGAGGTCGCGCCATTGCACTCCAGCCTGGGTAACAAGAGCGAAACTCCGTCTCAAAAAAAAAAAAAAGAGGTTGCCAGTGTATGACAGAAGTAGAGAGTTAGTAAACTAACACATCCTGTACACTTTCTTAAACTTCATAGAAAGGCTGTCTTCTGAAAAACACTTTCGGAAGTGAAGTTACATCAGCTTTAAGTGACACATGTGCCTATATCCACCAGGTTGGTGATGGAGAGGAGTTGGAACGAATGAACAGTTCTAGACCAGAATGTTCCTATTTAGAAGACACTTTCAGATATAACCATTGTTACATGTGTGTAGCTTATTCAACACTACTGTGTATATAGTAGACAGATTTAAGTCCTAATTTGAAACATGTAGTCTTTCTGGATGTTTAGAAGTGCACAAAGTATGTTAAAAGTAGAGGTAGTGAATAACACATTTTGTAGCTATCCTTTTAATATGAAGTATCGTCTTTTGGAAATTGATCAATTCTCTGAGCAGTAGACATTATCATATATGTGCAATTTTGGGGGAAGGAGGAATGCAAGGGACTTTCTACCAATGTGTTTATGATGAGGCACATTTACTATTGTCCTTATGTCTGCATTTTCATTTACTGTGCTGTGTATATAGTGCATGATAAGTGGACCTAAGACTCCTGATATACATGTAGTCAATGTTAAAGAGGTTGCCAGTGTATGACAGAAGTAGAATTAGTAAACTCATGCATTGAGTACACTTTGTGTTGGAAATCATAGAGAAGTCTTCTTAAAAACAGATGGGAAATTGTTAAAATCCTCTCAGCATTACAGTTGGCTGATAGCTGTCCATGGGGTTGACAGAGGCTGGAAAGGGAAGGGGGTTCTAGGCCAGAATGTTCCCATTACGGTCTGTGTTATGTATATGTACCATTTATTCAATGCTACTGTGTTTATAATGGAAATCTTAAGTCCAGATTGAAACATCTAGTCTTTCTGGGTGTTTAAAAGTGCACCACATAGGTTAAAAGTAGAGGGCTAAAGTAACACCCCTCTAAGCATTTGTTTTCATTACTTCCTAGGAGTGATTGGTTGCATTTGGGAATGGAATTGTTAAAACTTGATGTTTAGGAGCTTATGCTATTTATTGGGTGGCATTGGGTGGGGGAGGAGGAGGTATGCAGGGAAAAGGGTTCTGTGCCCCTGAGATTAGTTCAGCTGGTCTAACCATTGTTTTATATGTGCATTTTAGTTAATATTGTGTATTAAAGAATAAACAAGTTTTAATGCTCAAAGTATGTTAAAAATAGATGTAAATCAGTCCCTTTATGAATGTCCTTTTTGTTAGTTTTTAGGACGGCCTGTCTTCTGGGAGTGAGCTTTTATTAGTCTACCTCTTGGAGCTAGATGTCCTATACTTAGTCACTGGGGATGGTGGAAGAGGGTGAAGGGAAGGGCTCTCTGCTACTATCTCTATATCGAGAAGATGGTTTTAGATGATAACCACAGGTCTATATGAGCATTTTTAGTAAAGTGCCTATGTTTATTATGGACAAAGTTCATTATTTTGCACCGTCTATGCTTCATGAATGTCTGGGGTGACAACATAGGATAAAAACTAGAGTTCGTGAATTAGTCAATTTGTATATACCTTTGTTATAATAGAAAAGATGCATCTTGGACATGGAATTGTTAAACCACCTCTGAGCAGTCTATGTCAGGACTTGTTCATTAGGTTGGCAGTAGAGGGGCAGAACGAAGTATAAAGGGAGAGATGTATGCAGATGTGTCCAGTGTCCACGTGTCTATATTTACATTTTGATGACAGCCATTGATGTATGCATCCTCTTTTGGCTGTACTATAGGGATACATTAAGTACTTCAATGGAAATATACTTTGCTAATATTTTAATGGTATAGATCTGTTAACGAATTCTCTTAGAAACATACTTAGTGTATTCTGTATAAGTAAGGGTGGCTGAGAGAAAGGAGAATAGACCCAAAGTCAGGCAAGCAAGTTTTATTAATCTGCTGGGCTGCTCTGTAACAGAGGAGGCAGGCCTGAGCTTACAAAATGGGGGTTTGTTTATATGGGGTGAGAGGGGAATAAGGGAGTTTCAGGGCTGAGGTAATCTATCCTCTGGTAACGGACACAGAGATAGTTTGTCAACTTGTAACAGAACTACAATACATTATCCAGTGACTTCTGTGGTGGCAGTTTTGTTTAAAAAGAGAAACCAGGATTCTTTTACACATATGTGTCAAACAGGAATTTACAAGTATGAATAACAAATACTTGTTTTCCCTGTCCTCTCTCCAGCTGCTGGGATGGCTATAATCAGGCTTTGTTTAATTGTAGCACATCTGGCAGCCTTGATGTGATGCCTTGGTAGGGGTTCAGGAATTCAGCTGCAGAGCAATCAGTGTGGGGAAGGGGTCAGTTTACACAGAGGGGGTTTTCTGAGGCAACTTGTCCCTAACATATACTTAGTGTATTCTGATACTGTGTGTTTCATTTTAAATTGAGCATTAAGAGAATGCAGTATTTAAATTGGAACTCTGCCAATGCTTTTATCTAGAGGCCTGTTGCCATTTTTGTCTTCTATGAAATTTTTATCCCAAGAAAGGCAGGATTACATTTTTTTTAACATACTGAGTTGGCGTAGTGTATTCTTGGTTATCAAAATACTCATATAACTTTGGGATTTTGAATTGGTATATATTCATGACATATGAAAAATCATGATACGTACTGTACAATCTCAGTCCCTTAAAATTGGATGTTGTGCCTACACACTCACAGGACCTAGAAAAACATGTCAAACTATAAACTGTTTGATTGTGAGTGACTTTGTTCTTTGCTTCTTGTGTTTTTCAGTTTCCTCTAATGCACTTAACTTTTTAAAAATAAAGGTTATTTTAAAAACGTAAAAAAGGACTTGATTCTAAGTTCTGTAAGCCTAGAGGGTTTGACAACTATTTATAATGAAAATGACTAGTGGAGTGTCAATAAATTGTATATCTTCCCCCCATTTTGCTACAGGCTGGTGATTCGTGGTGATAAAGACGAGCAAGCTGTGCTGTGCAGTAAAGACAAAACATACGACTTGAAGATAGCAGACACTTCCAACATGTTGCTTTTCATTCCCGGTTGTAAAACTCCAGACCAGCTGAAGAAGGAAGAGGCGCACTGTAACATTATTCACACTGAGGTGCTCTTTTCTGTACTCTGATTTATAAAAGTCTGAGAATGAAAACAGATGTGGTAATCTGGTCTTTAGTGAAAAACTTTAGGTGTGAAATCTATAATCAGGGAGAATCAAGAAATTCTTCAAAGAAATTTGACTTTCTCAGCATTATTATGATTACTATTGCTTTTTTGTGGAGTCTTGTGAACTTGTCTGTTTTTCCCCATTTTGATTTTCAAGTCCCAATTTGACCTTTTTTCTGTAATGTGCAGTTTGTTATTTAGTGACTCATTCTAAAACTTCTACCTGTTTTTAGTAGATTTTGCTGTGGATGTGTTTTGAAAGGAGACTCCTTCAAACCATAACTTAGTTCATTTATGTAATATTTATGAGGTGGGAAAATGAAGAAATTTGGGCCAGCTGTGGTGGCTCACATCTGTAATCCTGGCACTTTGAGAAGCCAAGACAGGTGGATTGCCTGAACTCAGGAGTTTGAGACCAGCCTGGGCAACACAGTGAAACCCGGTCTCTACCAAAATACAAAACATTAGCTGGGCGTGGTGGTGTGCGCCTGTACTCCCAGCTACCTGGGAGGCCGAGGCAGGAGAACTGCTTGAACTCAGGAGGCGGAGGTTGCAGTGAGCTGAGATCACTACACTACACTCTATCCTGGGTAACAGAGCTAGACTCTGTCTCCAAAAAAAAAAAGAAATGAAGAAATTTGAGTTTTTGAATGAAGTGTGTTTCTTAGCTATGAGGCTGGTTTAGTTCATTAATATCTGTAGCCAACTATAACAAATTTTTAATTATTTTGGAGAATACTGATGGTGGTAACCAAACAAGTCTCCATTCTGTCCAAGT